CACACACACACACACACACACACACACACACACACACACACACACACACACACACACACCACTGAACTGAAGAGATTCTACTTAATTAAAGCCCTGAGTTCTTTTTGCTCTCCCAGCTATTAATATTCCCCACATGAATGTGACTGTTACTTTTTAAGGTTATATCATCTTCTTGATTTCCTAATGTTTCCCTATTAGGAATCTTTGCATTTCAATTATTGACTCTTTGCTAGTAAAATCTTATTATCCTAAACTGGAATGAAAATGTAGAATGACTCAGCAAACTGGCAAATTAGAGCTGTTTGTCTTCCCTTCACAAGGCCATACAGCTGCATTGACCAAGTTTAAGTTGTTCACCCAATGTTGGCATTGCATAGTAAAGTACAATAGGATGTCTTTCTGTATGTATTATTGAAAAAAGTTAATTCCTGTATTATATTCCTTTTTAAGTGAAATCTCTTAAGAAAAACATTTCCTCATAGCTCTTCTTTATGAACCATTTTTCTTTTAACTATTTAGGGATCTAACATTTGGCCCTTTTGTTAACTATGTTAGCATAAGATAAGCCCCACTCCCCTCTATGTTTAATATTAGACCACTAGGAAAATTTTGTTTCACTGCAGAACTTCTTAACTAGTTCTTGGCAAATAGGGTACAGGTGTCCCGAGATATTCATTCCGGCAGTTCTTAGAGGAGCCAGAGCCCTCAGGGTCAGGGACTGGGTGATTGACAGCCTCTTCCATTTTCCCCAGTCTGCTTTACAAATATTAGCTCTTTCTACATGTGCCATGACATGAAAACTGTTGGGAAGCACTGCAAGAAACCAAATTTTCTCTCCTCATTGTTTTCAAACTTAAAATGTAAGAACTTCCATTTGGTTTAGATCCATGGCCCCCATCTGATACAAAATTCTGTCTCCTAAGAGCAACAGCTTATAGATGTGGTCTGACATGGAAAGATCCCACAGTATATTGTTTTAAATTTTTTAATAATTTATTTTGAAATTTAGAAAATAAGATGTACTAATTTATATCCTAAAGAAACAATGGGTTATAGACTAGTGTAACCCAAGTTCTCAGGCAAACCTTTATTTAAAAAAAAAAAAATCAGGAGCAATTGTTTCTTTTTAGGAAGGGGCAAGATTTGGTAAGAGAAAGACATTGCAAGTTGGGGGTAAAGAATTAATGACCAGAAACAAAAGGCAACTTCTCTCTTCATTGCCTAAATCACAACAAAAGGTATGGGGATTAGGAGATTGGCCAGACCTCTGGTCTAAGAGGGTTGCCTGAAACTAAGGGACCTGACAGCTAAATTTCACCCAGTTTTCTTTCAGAAATCTAACTCCTTCTCCAGACTCCCTTGGCTAGTGGTAATTCTTCCCACTCTAGAATGGTAAGATTTTCCTGTCCTGCCATGGAGAGAGGAAAGGGAATCAGTCCTCTTCTTGGTTTCTTTGGGGTCAAGTGTTTTGAGATGTAAACTAATAATGAACCAGTTTTTCTACTTCCGGGACCATTGAATGCAACTTTGCCCTGGATCTCTTATGGCTAACAGTAACCCAGCCATAGTTTCCAAGATAAAAATAATCTGGATGAATGGCTTTCAGGCCAGGGAGAGCAACCTGTCACATGCCTTGGAAGAACGTGTTCTGCTCTTACTCCAAGGAATTCGTAGCTTTACAATTCCAGATCCAAATGTTTTAGAGTTCATGTCCAGCTAATCTGTATTCTTATCTGATTAACTTTTCTTATCACAACATCTCTATATAAAGAAAGTACAGATGCTCCTCAATTTATAATGAGGTTTATGTCCCAGTAAACCCATTGTAAATTGAAAATATTGTTAGTCAAAAATGCATTTAATACACCTAACCTATCAAACACAGTTTAGCCTAGCCTACCTTAAACATGCTGAGAACACATATATTAGCCTACAATTGGGCAAAATCATTTAACACAAAGCCTATTTTATAATAAACTTTTGAATATCTCATGTAATTTATTGAATATGTACTGAAAGTGAAAAACAAAATGGTTGTATGGGTACCCTAAATATGGTTTCTACTGAATGCATATTGCTTTCACACCCATCATAATATCAAAAAATCACAGTCAAACCATCATGAGTCAGGGACCATTTATAATACTGCTTCTGTAACCATTACAGTTTCTCAAGTGTTAGAACAGAATGTATTATTTTTTAAAATGTTTTTCATTATCTGAAAACATGGTGCTCTTTAACTCATTACATTTTGACATATATTTTGAGGGTTTCTTTTCAATAGTGGTGATGGATTTGTGCAGATACATCTACTGCTTGAACTTGATTCTCCTACTGACCAAATACAGACAATTCTGAAACTACTGAATTGCGGGTGCAGATTAAGTCCATAAAAAGAAGCAGTCAACAAAACAGTCAGTTAGACTGCTTTTTGATGTGTCATCTGCTTACACTGAGGATATATAGAATTTATCACTGTTTGCTGTAGGGATGCGGTGGTTTGCCACATTAAGCAGACTCCTCTTTAAGAAATAGCTACACTGTCGTTGCAGGCAATTGCTTTGCTTTTATCTTATGGATTCCGTTTGGTCCCTTTTGGGTCTGACTGCTAATAAACTTAGAGTCAAATTTGCTGCCATGCTCTAATTGCATGGGATCTTATGTCATTTTCTCATTATTTCGTTGTTTTTGTTGTTCATTTATTTTGTTTGATTATTAATACTTTTTGGAATGAGGCAGGCCTTTATGGAAATACTCCCGCAATCCTGACCTTGTTAACACCAGATTTTAACTCAATGTACTAAATGTCTACTGCTATTAAAAAGACCCTTAATTTGGATATATTCCTTTCAGTCCCATTAGTGTCCACTGCAGTTAGCCACTTTTTCCAGGTATGTGTACTAAGCCCTTAAAATCTTTATTTGTTTCTCACAGGTCATAGAGAAGAGATATTTTTTAAGAGAAGGTAATCAGGTTGGTATTTCTCTTTTCTTGATAAAATAGATTCTTAAATTTGGACAGTTGATTTCCAAATTTATTTTCACAAGTGGTTAAAAAAGGTTGGGGAAAGCCCTTTATAGGCACAAGCAACTGATTTTCTATCCTATTAAATGTAAAAGGAGAAAATCAGAGCAAAGAGAAAATAAGGGTCTAAGAAACAAGGAGAATCCAGGAATAAGATTACATTATAAAATAATAGAATAAAATCATTTGCTTGGGACTCGAAAGGTATATGTTCAGAGTCTATCACA